CTAATTAGAACGAATTGGCCTTAAATAATGCCTAATTAAATACTCTTTGTATCTGAATCAATTTTAAATTAATGTTAAAATTGTTTTTCATAGACAATATTCGTAGGGCTTAAGAACAGAGGACAACATTAGCAAAAAACGCACAACTAAGAGTTTTAGAATTAAACACTTTTCGTATTCTCGAAATATTCAAAAAAAATTCTTCGAATTCTCTACTCAAAATTATAGTTATTCCAAGGAAAATGTATGGTTTTAATATAAAATTGTTTGATTCCATGTTTATAAAAACAAAATTTTATTTTAAGTCCTTTTTGTAGACAACATTCCACAGAAGCATTAAAATATATTTCAAAAATATGAATATATAAACAAGAATTTTAGAGTTGTAATTACCGAGTGAACACTGTAACACATTTTATACAATAACTAGCCGTCTTGTATTTGGAATTTTTCCCATGAAATTTTTGACTTCACTTCATTCTCCAACAGCGCGTGTGTTTATCAACACGTACATATACGTATATATATATATATATTTGTATATCGGCCGAGACGTCGGCATTATACTACAGATATGAACATGCAATATTTTCCCGCCGCATAAACAAACATTCTAAATGATGTGTCTGTCTGTCTCTCTGTAGTGGAAGTGTACGTATCGGTATATGCATATACATACATATGTATGTGGTCTGTTGGGGCAGCTTCTGTGCTTCTGTTTTAGCTGCTGTTTTGTTGGCTTTGGCAGTCGCTTAATTGTTTCGTTTCTGTGTAGATCGTTACAGATGGGTTTGCTTAGCTATTTGTAGAGCTGGATTGTATTGTTATCTGGGCACTTATAGGGTATACACACACCTGAGCTAGTTAATAACCTTCGGTTTTGGCACGTATTCGCATGCAACGAGCCATTGCGAACTGGACGGCACACTCGCATTGTTTTTGATATAAACGCAAAAGTATTTTCTTTCTAGCTGTGAAATATTTGAAAATTATTTGAACTTGAAAAATCGCTGGCCAATTCGAACAAGCGGCATATTCAATTGTTAGCCGAATCGGCATTTTTTGTGTATACGTTTCTGTTTATTTGCCAAATATTGCAAATCATGTGTTTATTTTTGGCCTGGGCAGGAAATATATTACCTATAAGTCGAGTATGGTACGAAGGTCAAAAGTTTTGATATTTTGGCTGACATGAACGGGAGAAAGTCGTGGCAAGCAACCCTTTTTTTCCCTACGATATTTCCAGACTCGTGCGATGAGCATCTTCCAGTGGATTGGTTCAGATGCCGCATGCAACACATGCAACACATATGTGGCACGAACGGCAAACAGAAATCGAGGCACAGGCTATAGTGTAGGTAAAGGCCCAGTCCCGCCTCTGGTTGTGGCTGATGATGTTAATGTTGATGTTGAAGATGATGATGATGATGTGCCCACATGTCAGACAGGGCGCGGCGGCGATGCGAGTCCCTCCGAGTTCGAATGACAACAATAGCTCACCAAATGCGTCTCGAAACAATATTTTCCCTTGTCTCGAACGGGTACTCCAAAACCATAGCCACGATCTGTTTTAAAAGGGTGGCGAACAGTTGTCGGCCAGCAGGGCGGGGACAAACAAACAACTTTAAACACTTTTATACCCTGTAAACTTAATTTGTGTTAAATGTGTTTTTGGGTCGGTTTCCAATAGCGACTCTGTTAGTGGTGGAAATGTTGTATTTAATTAGGGTCACTTCCTACAAACATTGCCAAAAAATTTTCAATATAAAAATTACGACGAACTTTGTACTCAGAGCTAATGCCAAAAATGTACTAAAATCATGTATTAACTTTTTAAAATTTGGTCAGGATTGTCTCTCAAGACCTTTTATCCCGATGTTTCTCAATCGAAGATGTGTTGTACTTCTATTGAAAATGTTTTAAGTTTATTTCAAATATTTCTGTCATAAGTATTTTGTACTTAACTCAAGAAATTGTTTTATTCTTATTTTAGCAAGTGCTACTAAATGATTTTTAACCAAATGATAGTTAAATATATTTTTTGATATTTATTATTAGATCGGTTATTAGATCGGTTTTATGTTATTTTTATAGGTCTTGTGCTACACATGAGGCTTTTAAACGCAACCCACATTAACTAGCGTTCTACTGGGTATCTCTTAGTCGAATACATGTCATTCTTAGTGTCTGTTTTTAATTTCTTTTAATTTTTGTTGCCTCTGTGGCACAGATGTGGGCTGGAAAGATCACAGAAGAGCACATTGAGAGCGACTGTGTCTGTTTTAATTAAGCGAGAGCGATAGCGGGAGTGAGCATGAGAAACAGAGAAAGCGAGAGAGGGAGTGAGAGAGAGAGAGAGAGAGTGCATCGACACGCATATGTGAAAAATTAAGGCTGTCTGCTGCTGTTAAGCAAAAAGGCGCAAAAGATGCGGGAAGCGAAGGCAACGATCGACAAACAGCGCGAACAGCCAGCGACATTTGTATGCCCACCCGGCAAAAAAAAAAGTATACCCAAGAGAACTAAATGTGCTCGACAACAGCAACAAACATTGAATTTAACAGCAACAAAAAAACTACAAAAATAAAAATAATAAAATAACTGTGGAAGCAGGGCCACTAAATTGAGTCGTTTGAGGCGCAGTCGCAGTTGCCCCGAGTAGGACGCGCCGCAGTAGTTGGGTTTTCAGTATTTATTTGGTTTTTGAGCGTAGGAGCAGCAGCGGCAGCAGCAGCCTCTGTCTGGCCTCTGGCAGCGACCACGATATACTACAAAGTCGTCTCTGCTGAATTTAGAACAGTTTTCGAGCAGAGCTGTGGAAATTCACAACGTGCGCTAAAGATCGGAGAATCACTGAATATAACGCACCCTCAACGTCATATAGACGAGCGCTACTGTTCTATGTTATTGTGTAGCTGTGTATCTGTATCTGTGCATTTGTATCTGTGTATCTGTATCTGTGTTTTGTGCAAAAAATAGAACATTATCGAAAAGTAGCTGCCATCTAAATGAACTACATGCAGCTTTGCTGTACCGAGTACTTGTAGGTAATCAACGTCCCTCAGTTCCTGCTCTATATATGTGTATATATAATATATATATATATACATTTCTCTATATATGCCCAACAAGCTGTACGGTATAGTCGTTTTTTTTTTAATAGAAGGGCAGACTTGTAAAAATTATTTTGCATTTGCTGCGGGCCTCAAAAAGCCTTTACGAACTGTCCCATTTTAATGTTCCCCATAAAAGTGGCCCCGAAATTTTATTGATTTTACATGCGCATGTTTTTGATATTTAGTGCGCGGTAGTCGTAAAGCTATTTCAAAAACAAAAATCGGTGTTGTTTTTTTATTTTTTGATATTTTGTATATATTAACTACGCCGATTTGGCAATGTGAGCTCATTTCTCGCTTTAAAGGGCCTTCAATTTGTGTGGCACGCGCTTGAAAATGAAAGCAGCAAAAAAAAAAATACTCAGCGGAAATGTGCGCGACATTTTAATTAAGCCTTGCCAAAATGTAAATGGCTTTTAATCAGAGCTTGAGCATATAAAAATCTCAGTGGTTCAGTCTGAACTTAATTGGCAAGCAGAGAATTATTAAGTGCATTAAAAATGTTCGCAAATAACATTCATTTTTGAGGCGCAAAATGGTGGAAATGTTTATAAACAAAAACAAAAAAAAAAACACCGATAAACAATTTTAACGGTTTCGTGCGAAAAGCATTTTGTTTATTGCCAAAAAAAAAAATTGGGAAAAACAAAAAGTTGTATTGAACTCAATATATTGGCATTTTCCGGTAGACAAAGCGGATGTGCGAGTTACAATTTGTTGTTTGTTCTGTATGGATCTTTAGTCTGCTCAAGGGTTCTTTCCCCCATGCTCACAAGTCTCTTGACTGTCTTGCGCTCCTCATGCCAGAAATACACACACACAGATATATGAAATATTCAACCCAAATGCAGCACTTGTTTGCGGTTTCTTGGGGCGCCCCCTTTAATAGCGTACATGTCGCGTTCGCTAGATACTTTTATTTCTTATTTTGAGTTAAATTTGTAAAAATAAGAAAACTTAGTACACAAAACGGAAACGCGCATAAATCTAATCGTCTGCATTTTTCCAGGTGTTGCAGTCATCCCCAAGCAGCTGCCGTATGATCTATGAAATGCGCCACGCCCACGATCGTGCCACGATGTGGCTGTGACATGTTGCTGCGGCAAACATGGCTGCCATAAATCCATCAGCGCACTGAATAAATCACAGGCCACAAGCGACAATAATTAAGAATCCATGAGTGCATACAACATTTTGGAAGTGTATTTCCGTTACTTGGCAAGGTGATCATCAACAATCAGGAGCACGGCCACAGCATCCGATTCCGATACTGATCGCAAGGCGCACTTCAAAGTCGCCGCGCTAAACACACATGTTGCCAGCGATCAAGTTGGAGCCAGCGGCAACTGTTGTTATTTCCATCATAAATTAGAAAAACTTGAAGAGATCACTGATCAGCGCGAGGGTGGAGAGAGAGAGAGAGAGAGCGAGATTCAGAGAGCAATCGCTCAGCTAAAGTGGATTTCCGGTGAATAGAAAATAACAACAACAACAACAACACATGCGACACTCAAAGTTGTTGGATTGAAGTCGACGCTACCCCATTTGCTGGAAGGAGCCGCAGCTCGGAGTTAGGGCGAGTGCCACTTCGGGTGCGCCGCCTCAGTTACAGTTACAAAAGTATATATATACATATATATATATATATAGGCACATAGCAAAAGGAAATGTCTGCCAGATGCCGGAGAAGCGTTGCCAGCGTAAGACGCTGCCACAATATGTCCAGAAGCCTGCTGATCCTGCTGTTGTTATGCGTCTGGGGCGCAACAGCGCGGCGAGCGCCAGCAGCCAGTTCACAGGAGCTAACCAAGGACTATGATAGTGTACCCAACAACAACAGCAACATCAACTATAATGCGACACACACACAAAACAGTATCAATGCAGAGGAGGACGAGGATGCGGATGAGGATGACAAGGTTGGTTTGGCTGGCGCCGGCTCTGGCGGCAGCGCGGGCGGTGCCGGTGGCAGCAACGATGCCAAGCAACAGTTTGCGCCACGCTTTAGGAAACCCCAGAAAATGAGCACCCTGTATACGCGACCCTCGGGCTCAACGCTGTCGCTGAGCTGTAATGCGGCGGGCAATCCGGAGCCAAATATCACTTGGTATCGCAATGGCAGCAGCGATTGGACGCGCACCTATGGCAGCTATCGCAAGTCCAAGTGGCAAATCACCATGGAGGACCTGGTGCCGGAGGATTCGGATCAGTACACCTGCAAGGTGTGCAATCCGCTGGGCTGTCTCAGTTATGTGATGAATGTGATGGTCAGCGATCGGGTGAATCACAAACCCATTCTACTCAAAGGACCCGCCAATCTGACGCTTTTAATCAATGACAGCGGCCACATGGAGTGCAAATATCTATCGGATTTGACCAGCAAGAAGGCCTGGATTTTTATGCCCTGCAAGAGCGTAAATGATTGCTCCAAGAATCGCACAGTTCTAGTCGAGGATGTGGATCGCTTGGAGTTTACGAATGTGACACAGGAGCAGGAGGGCTGGTACACGTGCATCGAGAGCAACAGCCTGGGCCAATCCACAAGTCGCGCCTATTTGCGTGTGGTGCGCAGCCTGCAGCTGCTCGAGGCGAATCTGGGCAGTGTGGTGCGCGATAATGGCATGATGGCCATATTCATCACGGTCACCTTTCTGCTGATCATGCTGTGCATCATCTTTGTGGCGTATGCGGTGCGCAAGATGAAGCACGAGAAGCTGCTCAAGCAGCGCATCGAAACGGTGCATCAGTGGACCAAAAAGGTTATCATCTATAAGCCGGCTAGCGGTGGCGATTCCAGCGGCTCAATGGACACGATGATAATGCCGGTGGTGCGCATTGAGAAGCAACGCACCACTGTGCTCCAGAGTGGCAACGAGCCGGTGCCCTTCAACGAATACGAATTCCCGCTGGACTCCAACTGGGAGCTGCCGCGCAGTCAATTGGTCCTGGGCGCCACTCTTGGCGAGGGCGCCTTTGGGCGTGTCGTCATGGCGGAGGTGAACAATGCGATTGTCGCTGTCAAGATGGTCAAGGAGGGTCACACGGATGACGATATTGCCAGTTTGGTGCGTGAAATGGAGGTCATGAAGATCATTGGCAGGCACATCAATATCATCAATCTGCTGGGCTGTTGCAGCCAGAGCGGACCGCTCTATGTCATCGTGGAGTATGCACCCCATGGTAATCTGAAGGACTTCCTGTACAAGAATCGGCCTCTGAGCAAGGAGCAGCTGGACAGTAGCTCACAGTCAGCGCCGCCAGCACCACAGCATGTGATCACCGAAAAGGATCTGATCAAGTTTGCCCATCAAATAGCACGCGGCATGGATTATCTGGCCTCGCGGCGCTGCATTCATCGGGATCTGGCGGCGCGCAATGTTCTCGTCAGCGATGACTACGTGCTCAAGATTGCCGACTTTGGTCTGGCCCGAGATATACAGAGTACGGATTATTATCGCAAGAACACCAATGGGCGTTTGCCCATCAAGTGGATGGCGCCCGAGTCGCTGCAGGAGAAGTTCTATGACTCACAGAGCGATGTCTGGTCCTATGGCATACTCCTGTGGGAGATTATGACGTTTGGAGCGCAACCATATCCGGCTATTATGTCCGCCGAGGAACTCTACAGCTATCTGATGTCCGGGCAGCGCATGGAGAAGCCGGCGAAATGCTCAATGAATATTTACATTCTGATGCGCCAGTGCTGGCACTTTGACGCCAGCGCACGGCCGCCCTTTACGGAGATCGTGGAGTACATGGACAAGCTACTGCAGGCCAAAGAAGATTATCTGGATGTGGATGTGGCCAATCTAGAGACGCCGCCCTCGACCAGTGATGAGGAGGAGGACGATGCATCCGATGTGGAGCAATCGCGCTATCATTACTAGCTGATCGATAACGATAACGATCGCTGATCATCGATCGACTTCATTGAGAAACTGTACATATTTTGCCCGCGGGCTAACTAACGATAAGTCTGTAAATCGCTTGAATTTTCTGCACCAAAGGCGTAAACCAAAAATTTTTACGATATTTTAGATTACGATATATTACATTATATAAACATTATTTATATACACATATATCTCACGTTTAAGCGTGTTTGATTTCTATGTATAATGACGTAAATTAGTTGTGGGTAAATCTTCATCTTCTTTTTATCGAACATGCACTTAACTTTAATCATTTTTCATTTGTCAAGATCAGTTTGTAAAAATACACAAATGGAGACTTACAAAGTGGATCATAGTACCGAAAAAAAAAGATGTCGGAACGAGTCTAAAATCGGCTTGAACAAACATACGAAATTAAGAGATGTTAGGTATAGAAGAATGCTAAAGAATGTGGTCTCTCGAAAACTATAATTTCCATAAATTAAGCTCTTTAATTTAAATGAATCAAAATTTCTGATTAACGATCGAGTTCTTTGCATCTCTTTAAATATAAATTGTTTAATATCCCTGTAATTTTGGTCCATTGATTTAAATGTGCAATCAATTTTGTACAAAAAAAATAAAAACTGAAATTGATTGTGTATGGTTAAGACGCAGCGTTCTAATTTGCTAGCGAACACTGTAAGAACATAAAACCGAAAATACATTTTTATTGCATTTAATTTAACATACATATTAATTAGCCATGACTTTTTTCCTAATGAAAATTGTGCTCAAAGAAGATGAACTTTTATATATCTATCACAATTTACAGTGTTATACGTATTACGTATTACAAAATAAGAAATATTAATAGATATGCATGTAAACACGAGAGTATCTTGAAATTGAATAGAATTCAGGCTGCAGTTTATTTATCTATATATAATCATAAGCTAGTTATTTAGATCGGTTGTATTTGTATTTTTATTTGTACTGATTCTGCGTAGTATTCACATTGTTCAATGTTCAATGTTAAAGCATATGTTTCTTATAAGCTCTATAGCATGCATGCTAGTGCCTTATACAAAAATAAATGTTGTACTCATAGTCTTAACCGAACAGCATACAATGGATACCTGACCACAAGACCAACACCAAGACCAAGACCAAGACCGAGACCAAAACCGACAAGATCATGACGTCTCAATTTGAAAATCTGTGAAAATATAATAACAACAACAGCCGTCGATTTGGGCCGCACGAGGCACGCGCGTCACTAAACGAAAAATGATGAATGGAACGGCTCGCGGTTGGTTTCTTTGAGTGGTCTGCTGCTGCTTAGGTGGTGGGTTAGTTTGGTGTTTTCGGATGGTTGGGTGGGTTTTGCGACTTGAACTCTGGCTCCTTAGTAGCGGTGTCCGCGTTGGCGGCTCGTTTGTTGACGCGCCAAATGCCACAAGCATCGACGTCGACTTCGCTCTCCGCGGCGCTGGCGATGCAATTAGACGATAATGCAACCCAACCAACTTAAACAGAAAAACAAAAAAAAAAATGTAAAAATCAAAGAAAAACAAAATGAAATACGCTTTTCGTGCACTTTGTATGTATTTGCAATGAGTTTGGCTCCGGGGCGTTCGTTGGCCGAGTTGCTTGCTGGGTTGCTCCATCAGCGATTGCAACATCGTCAGATATGATTTCTGTGGCAATTTAAATTAAAATCTGCACACGCTGCAATATATAATACCATATAACACATTCTGATTGACATATTCTTGTGCTGTAATCGTTAAAGCTATTAATCGTAAATTACAATTGATATTGGTTCTGTTTATTGAAGTTTTTTAAATTTTGGCATAGGGTTTGCTTCGTACAAAAGAGCGTCGTTTTCTGATAAAAGATTTAAAAAAAAACTGTCTGGATCTTCAATTTCGCATTTCAAAAGTCTCTTAACGTATAAGTAAATAATCTCTTATTTTAGTTTTTTTTATTAAAGTTTGTTTTGATTACACGATTTTTTAGGTTTTATTAAAAATTCGTATTACAGAATTTCATTTTAAAATTATACATATTATATTTGCGTACATAATACGAATTTTCTGCTCATTAATCTTAACTCAAACCTAGCTTATTTGTTTCCAAACTAGTTTCCTCAATCTCTATTGGATTACATTACTTTTATTTTAACAACAGACTTTAGATATGAAGAAAAGTCTTTCCAATCTTCGATTTTGGATATTTTAAATAGACAGCATGTTTTGTCTTGTTCAATAAAACTTTACTGAAAATCTAACAGCATCTAACATCTAAAAGCAGCTGTCCCGAAATATTTATGAATCATTTTTCTCTTATAACCATAGATTTTCAAGTGGTCCAATATTTTTAAGTATATAATATAGTTATTCTCTTACTAATAATATTTTCTAGACTTGCCAGAAATGATCATTAAAGTATTTTCTTAGATCCGAAATCAACAGAGAATGTTTCGAAATGTGTTTGTTGATTTTAGTTTGGCTTTTTATTGATCCATTGGATTGGCCGACAAATTTTCGTCGCTTTCCACAACGATCATTAATTATGCAGCATTAGACGGTGATCGCCAACGCAGCCAATGGCTTGTAGATATTTTCTGATTATTAATCTCAATTTCTATTGTGTCTGTGGCACACGCTAAACTGCATTTTCGATAATTTATCAATGCGGCTGTGAGGCTTTCAAAAAGAAATATTATAAACAAAAAAAAATAATAAAAGTGTGGCATTAAAATTGCGTTGTCTGTTATATTAATTAGGGCTCGGTCTTTGCAGCTCTGTGGGCGTGACTGCGATGCGCCTCTAATGATCGGAAGTTTGACACGTGTCTGATGCTGGGCGTGGGCCGCAAATGGCGTGGGTTGGGAGCGACCCCGCCCTGGGCTGGCAATTATTGCGTGAATATGTTAATTGAAAAAAATTTTGTTAATTGAGCCATGAAAAATCATTTCACCAGACAATCAGACAGACCGTGTCCCCTGCTACCTGCTACCTCAGGAAGTTGGCCATAAGATCTGGCCAAATATGCGGGCATTTACCAACATAACTCGTAGCGATCGGCTATCGATCGGTCAGTCAGTCAGCTTTGCAATAGCTATGCTCGGCTTGGGCTGCGGCTGTCTCGAGTGATCAATTAATTTTTGTTTTTGGCCAAAGTCGGCTATTAATTTGCATGCGCTTTTTGTGCTGTCGATCGTTGCCGCGATCGAGCAACTGCTGCTGCTACAGGTTGCCTCAACCGCAATCGAACGTCCAGTCTTTGGCTGGACAGCCTGCCTCTTTGCCTGGCCGCTGTTCCATTTGAAAACCATTTTAAAAGTCTACAAATTGCCTGTCCAATCCACCGTTCGTTCGCTGCAGTACACCGCCTGTCTGGCCGCCTGTCCGCCTGCCAGTCAGTCAGTCAGTCAAGTGCCGGGCAAAATCGATTGCACAGCTCCGATTTGACCTCGTCTTGCCAGCATGTGGAGTTTTTGGAAAGTCGCTCCATGAGTTGGGGACGTTCGTATCGAGTGCTGTTCAGATATTCTTTTCATTTCGCAGCTGACATAATTGTTATGTTGTCTCGATAATTCGATTTGCTTCGCTATATTTTTAATTTGCAATCACACCTGAAATCAGACAAGGGGAGAAAAAGTCAGAACTTGCATGATTCGCTGTTTCCTGTGATAAGACAGCTTGTATCTGGTCAATAATTTAAATATCTCCTGATTATGTAAATTGTGCGCTGTTTAAATCAAGTAAATCCATAAATTTATGTATTTACTTCTAAGAATCAAAGATGTATACTTCATACTCCTTCCTTTCTTTCGGTACAGAATACAAAAATTTGATCTCTTTGGCTTATGACACTCCAAGGTCGTCAGAATATATTTTTCAAGAATTTCGACTAGCAAAAAGTGAGAACACAGTTGCCCAGTGTGCTCGACTAAAATATTCCGCGTACCCCTCAGTTAATGCACCACCTTGGTATATTCTATATTTATGGCATTCAATTGTGTCTAAATACCAATCGTAAGGTTCTAAGTTTGAAAATTTGATTTTCAATTTTTAGGCTAAATAGGAGGGGCTATCGAAAAAGTGAAATGTTCCCAATCTGTGTATACTATTATATATGAGATCCTACATACCAAAATGTGCTTAAAACCCAAGTCTCAAAATCGATTTTAATCGATATATTCAAATTTCAAGAAAAGACAGACAGACGGAAATGGCAAAATCGTTCTGATTAAGAATATATATACTTTATGGGATCGGACATGCCGTCTTCTGTTTGTTACACACATTTCCACAAAAGCACATTTGATCCCATTTTCGAGGGGTTGAGCGTAGAGGAATAAGAGAAAGCAAAATAAATTTACTTTCAAAGGAAATTGGACGATTAGTAATGACTAATATTTACAATAGATAACTATTCTATTTTGTTTTGGAATGTGGCAACTGTTTCTGGGAATTCCAGCTGTTAAAACTCCAAAGAAATCTACATTATGAAAGATTATTGCACTTGGTGAACTCATCAGCCGATTAATGGCTCGATATATGCAACCAGGTTCTAGTGAAATGAAAAAAAGTTATTAACTACAAAAATGACGTCTTCATTTAAATAAATATTTAAGCTAAAAGACGCAGCTGTGGGAGCAACTATGATGCATATTTTGCCATTGTGCTTGCTGCTGCTTTTGGTGCAGTTGTTGAAGAAATAAATGCCAAATTGTGCTTTGGCACATCGTGGCTAAGAGCTTCCAAAGGGAGTGCAATCTTGAGCCGAGCATTATCTGGTACCGAAACAACGATATCGTGTCTATCAGTAGATCCAAAACTTAAACTTGACGCCTGAGAACGACAAAGTCTGGTCTCTTGCAGTGGGTCAAGGCCGCAGTACACGTGGCGTGCTTGTAAACCTCTCGGTAGATCTTCTATTGATCCAAAATAACCTCGGGACATCAATCAGAGTGCCCACAAGCGCTGTCAAGACGAGGCAGCAGACCAGAATAGTACCAAGCAGTGCTGCTAGCAAGCTCTACTTCCTGCAAAAGAGGTCATTGCCTGGGCAGTAGAGGGGCCAAATAGTAGTATAGAAATGGGATCAGCTTAATTCTATGATATTCACGGGCGATCTGGAGATCTGGTAGCTATTACGATGCG